CTGATAAATGACTGATCTCTCAAAGTTTATCCTAAACTGTCACTTCCTGTCAGTAGCATTAATATATATCACCTCCAGATTATGGTAATTGCCCATTTATTTTCATAGAACGTGAACAATGCTCACACTGCCATTTATCACAGACTTGTAGTAACTGATTTAGTCCACAAACATACATAACCCCGAGTTCCTTTCTCCCTAGGCTGTGTCAAATGTAACCGTGTCTCAAGGATGGGACACTGGAGGGAGGGCAGGCGGCCCTAAGGATCATGTGCCTCTCACATGCCCATCTGGAAGGGCAGTTCCCAACTCAATGAAAACTGACAAGGCAGGTTCCAAGTAAGGCTTTCACTTACGTTCAAAGAGAAATTAAAGAATCACTAGCGTGCAAGAAGCGGGCAGTCCTGCTTCCAGGGCAGCCGACCAATCTCCTCTCCACTCCCACCACATTCTACCTTAATCACCACCTATAAAAAGTCTACCCACCCTTCAAAATCCAACTCCAATGCCTGATCAATCCACCAGAAATGATGTCCTCAGTCTGTGAGGGGCCACACAGACTTTGGTAACACTACTTAAGTTCTCGCCTTAGGGAGAAGATCAGTAGTACCTTTTACCCTCCCGTAGCATATGGTGAATTCCCAAAGAGGACAGATGTCTTACATCCTTGTATCATTCGTGGTGCCTAGTACACAGGTGTCTAATGAAATCATTTTAATAATGAATTCTATAGACACTCTGAATCACCCCTTTATTATTTCCATTTTCTTTCCTCTCAAAAAATAAAGTTTCCACTGAGAACAGTAGCGCGCCTCCTATTTCAGTTTCAAGTTTGGACTCTCTAATGAATTGGTTTTTATACTTCTACCTCCTTCTCTCTCCCTCTCTCTAAATCTAATTAGAAGGGAACAGAACCAGAAATTCCTCCTTTTAACCAATCAACACTCATTTAGTGAGCATCTACAATGCACAGATCATGCACTAGACGCTGCAACAGTGGAGCTTACAATCCTGAAAGGGAGTCAGATACGCAAACAGACTGTGCAACTAATATGTAAGGCATAAAGCAAGTGCTAAAACAAAGTGCTGCAGTGCTCCGGAGCACTAAGAAGAGGGGAGGAATTTACGGGGACAGGACCCGTGGGCAGAAAGAGCCGCTGCTGGGCTGGGTCTTAATAAAAAACGGATTTTAAGAGGCCAATACTGAAATAGTGGTATACTAGTGAACCAACAAGGAACCAGCCAGGTAGAGGTAGGGGTATGAGAGAGAGAGAGAAAGAGGGAGAGGGGGACAGAGAGGGAAGAGAGCAGGAGGGGACAGGGGAGGCAGACAGAGAGATATTAGGGAGAAGACCCAACTGGAAAGATATCAAAGAATTTGAACCATCAAAGGTATCTGAGCAGGAAAGTGATATGGTCAGAACTGTGTTTTGGTCCAGAGCTCAGATCAGAGTTAAGAGATAAAAATAGTGAAATCATGCGAGTTAGGACTGCCCCAGAAACAGAAGTACAAAGATAGAATAGGGCTGAAGATTAACTCCTGAGAAATAATCATACTAGGGAGGAGAGGAGGGAGGTCAGTGAAAAACACCAGTGATCTGAGACAGAGGACACTATGGAGAGAATCGCATAAAAATCAAAAGAGAAGCAGAGGTAGTCATCAATAATATTGGAGAAAAATCTCATTTGGCAATCAGGAGGTCGCCATTGCTCTGGAGACCGGCAGCTTCTCTGTCAATAGGTGGGGGTAAAGGGAGTGGAGTTACAGTAAGTTAAGCAAGAAGGTGAAGAACTATAAAGGCAGCAAGTGGGGGCTGCTTTTCAAATAACCTCGGGAATGAACGGCAAGAGGAAAAAGGGCCAAAGTTTTACATGAGGAAATACATGAACTTTTTTACTCCATAGAAGCCAGAATAAGGGGCCTGAAATGTGCTGGCAGGTCCTGGAGGGGAAATGAAGGCTGAAGAACAAGCCAGGAAGCAACACCGCAGGTGCCTCGAAAAACAGAATATAGGGGAAACTGGAAAAAGGTGTGGTACTGACCACAGGAGTTAAATGCATACAGTAATAGGCTAAGAATTAAATGGGGTTGAGACTTGGCAAAATAAGATTTAAACAACTGCTATTTGGGGTAGGATACTCAACTTTCTGAATAAAATAGCACTCGGGGCCTAGATACTTCCAAAGCAAAGGAACCAGAATTACATGTTAAAAAAAAAACAAACTTAAAGTAGTAATACTGAAAGGTTTTGGGAGATATAAACCCCCCAAGACACTGGTAACTGTTTACAACAAAATACACAACACAAATCTTTGCATGTTAGATTTCCAAAATCCAGCCATAGTCCACTTGCTTTCAATAGACAATATAATCATTATTATATCAAATGCCAATATTAAAAACGTAGGTGGTTTTTACTGCTTTGCCCTTTGACTTTAAGTTTCCTATCAAAGTTCTGAATCTTATCCTTCGGAACGTATTAGCTGTCCCTCCAAACTGTCATCCACAAACTCAATAAACTAAACTCCACCCAAGTTACTGGCGAATAGGAAGAAAACTTATTTTTTCAGCAGGACACTACAGGCCTCCCTTCCGGGTTGATGATTTATCACTTATCCTTCTTCAGGTACAGCTATTTATGATCATGAATGCAGTTCTAACTGTATTTTCATCTAGCCCACGTTTCTCCATTTTGACCGCAGGACATGATAATTCTGTCAAATATAGTCTGGTGAAACCTATTTGCACAATGTCTAAGGCATGTATCTTATGAACCAGTCTGTTAGTCCTGTCAAAAGAGCAAACGAGGCCAACCTGGCCACATCCCACTCGGCTCTATCTTTATTCAAGGCACCACCAGACCTGAATTTAGGTGATCCTATGAATTATTTTATGGGTCTATCCTGGCAGGGTCTCACTACATTTCTCCAAGAGGACAAACTTTTCACTTTTTAATTAGTTACTTGCTTAAGTATGAACATGAGACAAGCGCCCTCCCTACTCCCAATATGGAAAGAAAAAAAAAAATTTTTTTCTGGCCAACTTGAACATGTAAACTTTTGAAGCTACAGACAGAAGAATCAAATGTCTATTTATAATGCCCATTATATGATGTTAGTTATGTGTATTTAAAATCACATACTATGCAAAACAACATTCACAAATTCTTTCTCCCCCTTTCCAACACTTCACAAAACAATTTCATTGAAAATTTTCCAGTGTATCTTTGGCATCTGTCTTCATGTTCACTAGAGTGAATAAGTCATTTTACCCGGTTTTTCAAAGCATTATCACCTTCCTTTAATTTATAAAAGTTGTCTGAGTTACAGAACTTTTTGACTCCTTGTGAACTTTTTAACCTAAGTCCTAAATGCCTATTTCCTATACATTCAAGCAGTTTTCTCCATCTACAGGTGTGTGTTGGGTATGCAGATTCATAATCTCCACCAAGTAGGCACCGCTAGGATTTACCGAAGTAGCTTAAGACGTGCACCCTCCCCAAACAATCCTTTGTAAGGCTTCGCAGGGAGTGGAATAAAGTGGTTTGCTCTTTTCTGAGAGAGAATTCTTGGGGGAGTAGGACCTTGCTTTACATCCGAGTAATCAAGTAAAAAAACAAAAACCCCACAAAGAACCAGGAACCCAATTATTTCTTCTTTTTTTTTAAAGATTTTATTTATTTATTTGACAGAGAGAGACACAGCGAGAGAGGGAACACAAGCAGGGGGAGTGGGAGAGGGAGAAGCAGACTCCCCGCCGAGCAGGGAGCCCGACGCGGGGCTCGATCCCGGGACTCCGGGATCACGACCTGAGCCGAAGGCAGCCGCCCAACCGACTGAGCCGCCCAGGCGCCCGCAGCCCAATTACTTCTTGGACGCGCTTCAGTGAGTAACACCAGCCACTGCTTCTGTGAACACGCGGGACGCACTAACAGGGGTCTCCAGAAGGCCAACGGCTCTCCTTCGAGTCCGTGGGGACTCGGCCATCCTGCTGAGGCAAGAGCAGGACGGCTCCCTCCACCGCCACGAATTCGCTTTCTGAGAGACAGCACGGCGGTAATTCTGGTTCCCAGTCGTGTGTCGTGTGCCGACCCAGTGCCGGTCGCCGTTCTAGGCATTTTACGCTCCTCCGCGACCGACGCCGCAGCGTTGACTGGAAACCTGGGCACCGAGAAGTTAGGAAGCTCGCGACGTCCCCCGGCTTCTCAGGCGCCGGCCGAGCTTCGTTCCCGGCCCCGCCCCCGCTGAGAGGCGCTCCGCGGCGCCGCCAACTCGTGGACTCCCGCCTGCCTTCCGAGGCAGGCCCGCGCGCCCGGCAGGTGGGTGGTGCCGGGGCGACGCGAGCGGGTCCAGGGCGCCCCTCCGCGCTCCGTCAAGCTCCGGCCACGTGCTCCTCGTTGCCCAGCCCTCCGAGCGCGGGGAAGGCGCCCCCCCGGGCCTCCGGCTCCCTCGCCAGGCCGCGGACGCGAAACCGACCTCAGCCCGCGTCTCGGACCCGCTAACTGGGCGCAGCGCGGCCGCGGCCCGCCCCGCGCCGAGCGCCGCCCTGGGGCTACCGGGGAGCCCCCCGGGGCACCGGGCAGGGGGTGGAGGGCGCGGCCGGCCGGCCGACCCGAGTCGCGCGCCCAGGACGAGGCCGCCCGAGATCGAGAAGGCGGGGGCCGGGCGGGCAGCATTTTCTCGGCCTCCCGTTCACGCGCCTTGCACTCCCGCCGCCGCGGAGACCCCGAGAGCACCGCGCCCGCCGCCCCGGGCCCCGGCGGCCCCCCGCGAGCCGCGCTCGCCCGGGCCCTGCGCGCCGCGGGCCGGCCGGCGCGACGGCCAGCCGGAGCCTCCCGACCCCCGGGCCCCACACGCGCCTTGCGGCCGCCGCCCCCGGCCCCCGCGCCGGACAGCCCCCGAGCACTCTCCCACTCGGCCGCCGAACCCGAGCCGGCGTCTCCCGGAGCGCCGAGGGCGGCGGGCGCGGAGCCCAAGCCGGGCCGGACGGAGCGTCTTACCTTTAACAGATTAGACGTCGCCATGTTCCTCCAACTTCGCCTCTCGCGAGACGGCGCGAGACTTCGCGGCGCTCGGGGCCAGGCCGCAGGCGGAGGCCCGGCCGGCCCGCACCGGGGAGTGCCGGGCGCCGCGGGGGCGTGCCGACGGCGCCGACGCGTCCCGGGCACTGGGGCTTCCTCGCTCTGCGCCGCTACATGGTCACCGGAGCGTCCCCACACCGGAGAGCTTATGCACACGCCCGGGGAGGCGGCAGCGGCGGCCGGGGAGGAGGCAGCGGGAGCCGACCTGAGTCGGAAGAGGAAGCATCGACTCCGCGAGCCGCCGCACTCTTCCGGAGTAGCCTTTGTGGTTGCGCCCGCGGCGACCACCGGCAACGAATTTAGCTGGGCTCGGGCCCGGCAGCTCCGGGTCCGCGGCCGCGTCACGTGACGCGGCGGGCGGGGGCGCGCTCGGGAGCGAGCGTGGGAGCCGGGCCGCCTCGGCGGGTCGGAGCCTGCGGAGAGGCCGGGAGCGCGCCCTCTGCTGGCGGGACCGGGTCTTTCCCCTGCCCCGCCCCCACCCCAACTGCGGGGAGCGGGCGTGCGAGGAGCGCCGCGATCCCGAAGGAGACGCTCGTGCCCGCTCGGCTTGGGGTCGGGCAGCTCAGTCAGTAAGAACTGGCACCTCGGAGGCGTCCAGTGAATGTTTGTTGAGTGACTGCGTGAATCAGTGGAGGCGCCAAAGTGTTAACTATTAGTACTTCCAGCCCGGAGTGCCTGGCGCTGAAATAATCCATACAGGGTTGTTCAGGCAATGAATATTAATCTTGGATTTCCCGAAGGCACATGATCCCAGAAGGTACTCACCGTAAACCCCCAAGCTTTAGCCCTTCAGACCACTGACCCCTGGCCGGGGGAAGAGAATATAACTCACCGTAGGACCTACAGCGTACCTGGTATTCTGTGATGCGTGCGTACAAACAGTATTCGTTCCGACATTCATAATATCTTTTTAAAGTTTTTTTATTTGAGAGAGAGCATAAGCAGGCGGGAGGGTCCCCGCTGAGCAAGGAGCCCGATGCGGGGCTCGATCCCAGGACCCTGGGATCATGACCTGAGCTGAAGGCAGACACCGACTGAGCCACCCAGGCGCCCTACATTCATATTTTAGGGGGAAAAAATAATAAGATCTCCGGAGGAAAATGCAGCCGGGAAGGGGCATGAAGTTTGCAACTCTGGAGAGCCTCAGATCCTGCGGGGCCTGTGGACCCCTGTAATTAAGGACGGGCTTTCCTTCCGGAGGAGATGGGCAATCACTGTGGGCTTCTGAACAGAGGCGTGATCAAACTCTGCTCTTCACATGCTCCCTTTCCTGTGTAAATAGCAGATAGAAGCAGAAGGGTGATGTAGGGAGCTTCCCTAATAGCTCCTTAAATTGACCTGACAACCATGCAACCGAGGCGTCCCTGCTTTACAAATGATTTTTAAGAGTGATCGAGGCACGATTAAACGGTGACTGGGTCATAGACCAAGGACTCAGAGCCACTGGGCCTGGGGGGTCCCGGCGGAGTGTTAGCCCAGGGCCGACTCTCCGTTATCTGAGGTTACCTGACCTGTGGAGTGATCTGGCCAACATCTCTCCACTCGGTGGGAGAAAAGACCTCGTCCAGGACAAATTTGATGTAATTACGGTTCCCTTTTCCAGGGAAACTGGGTTTTCTCTTCAACCCCAGGCCAACTCCACTGCTTAATTTAAGGTGTAAATTGATTACATTATCGTCAACCTGATGTATCTTTAAAAAAGTAAGATGACAAACTGATAAAGTAATTGCAGTAATTAATGGCTGACACTGCTTAAGAATCCAATTTAGTATTTTGTACTTGTTTGAGTGCTATTTATCATGTACTAGGCCCCAGAAATATAGGATTAGATAAGGCAGAGAAGACTCGTGCCATCTTGAAGCTTATCGTCTCATAAAGGAGCTGATATTGTGTAGTTACACAAATCAGATGTTACTTAATTGGGGGCGTCTGGCTGGCTCAGTCCGTGGAGTGTGTGACTCTTGATCTCAGGGTTGTGAGTTCGAGCCCCACTTTGGGTGTAGAGGTTACTTAAAAAAAACTTGCGGGGCGCCTGGGTGGCTCAGTCGTTAAGCGTCTGCCTTCAGCTCAGGTCATGATCCCAGGGTCCTGGGATCGAGCCCCACATCGGGCTCCCTGCTCCGCGGGAAGCCTGCTTCTCTCTCTCTCCCACTCCCCCTGCTTGTGTTCCCTCTCTCGCTGTGTCTCTCTCTGTCAAATAAATAAATAAAATCTTAAAAAAAAAAAAACTTGCAAAAAAAAATCTTTTAAAAAATTGCTTAATTGCAGCTGTGATAAATAGCGCAAAGGAAAAATACACTGTGCACTTCAGAGCATATGGTAGGGAGGGAGACTAATATCGTAACTGCCATTATTCTCATGGCCACAGCATGCACTCTGTGACTACTCTTGAAAACTCAGCTGCAAACATCCCGCTGTCTAACTGGATGTTTTGTCCTCCCCTCACTTGTCCCAGCAACACTGTGACAAGCTGTCCCCATTTTCCCACGAGATCTCCTTACCATGGGCTCCACCACCTCCTTGTTACCTAGCATTCCCTCCTGTTTTCACTGTCTTCCTCTTCCCATTTCGATCGATAGCCCATTATTAGAGAAATGTTCAAATATTTTAAATGCTTAAATATTTCATTTATTTTAAAATAGAGATCACAAGCACATGGTACAGAATTCAGAATGTGCTAAAAGGAACACAGCTAAAAGTAAGCCTCCTTCCCCCTTCTGGAGTCATGTTGTATATTGTGGTAGAGATTTGGGTTATTCAAGTGGATGCATTTGTCAAAACTCAGCTGTGTGCCCTTAAAGTTTTTGCATTGCCTTCAAAAGAAAAAAATTGTAAACAGTTTGAAATTTAGTTAATGACATTCATGCTGAAGACTTTAGGAGTAAGTGAAGTTATGTCTACAGTTTACTTTGAGATGTATCAAAAATAACATGGTTTGGGGCGCCTGGGTGGCTCAGTCAGTTAAGCGTCTGCCTTCAGCTCAGGTCATGATCCCAGGGTCCTGGGATCAAACCCCACGTTGGGCCCCCCGCTCAGCAAGAAGTCTGCTTCTCCCTCTGCCTCTGCCCCTCCCCTCCATTCGTGCTCTCTCTCTCGCAAGCTCTCTCAAATAAATAAATAAAATCTTAAAAAATATATATAACATGGATTGATGGTTGCATGGAAAGGTTGACCAAGCAAGTATAGTAAAATGTTAATAACAGAATCTAGGTGATGGGTGTACTGGTGTTCAATGTGCAAAATATTTCAGCTTGTCTGTATGTTTGAAAGTTTTCATAATTAAATGTTGGAGGAAAAAAATTTTTTTTAATAAGCCTCCCTTCCTCCACAGTCCCCCAGCCAACCTATCATCCCTCACGCAGAGACAACCACAGTTACCAATTTCTTGTGGGCATCTAGGACATTCTGTGCCTACGCAAGCAGTCATGTATGTATTCTTTTTTCTCTCCCCACAGATGGCGTACCACTCATACTCTTATACTACTTATGATATCAATTATTGAAAAATATGTTCCTGCTTATTTTTTTCACACTTCCTTTTTTTAAATTTTTTTTAAGATTATTTATTTGTGAGAGAGGGAGATCGCGTGAAAGCAAGCAAGCACGCACAAGCAGGGGGTGCGGCAGGCAGGGGGAGAAGCAGGCTCGCCACTGAGCAGGGAGCCCGATGCGGGACTCGATCCCAGGACCCTGGGATCATGACCTGAGCTGTAGGCAGACTCTGAACCGACTGAGCCACTCAGGTGTCCCTTTTTTTCATACTTCTTGACAGACATTCAAACAATTATTGGCAGGCCCTAATGCATCCATTGCCCCCAGAGTGTTTAGGATTATTCCTTCAAAAATAGGCTCTTGAAGTCCCTTTTAAACATAATAGCTATAAAGTCAAAGCTTTTGATCAGTAAGAATCAAAAAACAAAAATTTCTGTACATAAAAAAGATAGTATATAAAGTTTAATCAATACAGTGATAAGAGAATTGGTGAAAACCCAAAGGGACACCAAGGGTTTACAAGATTTTAGAGCAGGAGAGAGAGGAGAGAAACAGACCCAAGAGGTGGGGGATCCGGCTTCCTGGATCTCTGTACAGCACCTGGAGAAAGACTGCCCCACCGCCCAGCACCAGGAAGACCCACGGGAGCCAACCCTGAGCCTAACCCAAACTCGAATCTAACCATAGCCCTAAATCAATTTCTATTCTTATCCCTAAGCCAGAAGATCTTTCTTTGCTCTGCCAGGGAATGTCACACATTACCAGTGCTGAGCCATCTGTTCACTGTCTTTCTTAGGAAAGCTAGGTAAGAGGGAGCCGCCTTCTCCATATTGCTTGTAAGACAGTTGTCCATACCTTAATCTGCGCTCAGCCCACTTTATATGGGTGATTCCCTCTTCCATGGCCCCAAACACTTGTAAGCCCCATGCCCACCTCCAGAAAGTGGGGCCCTGGACAAGATGGGTGGCTGGGGAGGGCGGGGGGAGAGAAGGAAATGAAAACCCCACTCGCAGCTTTGTGAAACCAAGGAGAACCATCCTGAGAATTCCACCCAGGGGACCAGGTCAGGAGTGAAACCTCCACAGCCCACTGTCTACCTGTCACATAATCACTTTCCTTGCAAATGTCTTCAACAACCTCGTCCCTTTCCCCGTCCAGAAACGTAAGTAATCTAGTCACAACCTTGAGTAAACCCTGCCATCTTTCTCACGCCTACACCCAAGGAGCAAAACATCACCAGAGAAGAGCCCGAAACCAAGTTCAGTGGTTTCTCTCTAAACTCACACTTAGACCTCGAATGAGCATTGAACACTACCCGATAATGCTGGCGTGTGATCTTTAGTGGGCTCGCTCTTCCACCCCATTTCCTAGTACACCCATTCATTTCAGACCTCCTCAGTGCATTCTTCCCCCACCCCATCTTCAAAACTCCGTCCCTCCATTTGTAGTTCTTGTCCCTGATTGCCCTATATTGGCCAGGCCCCTGCTCCAGCTCAGTACCATTGCTTCTGCTTGTGATCTGCATCCCACCCCAAGAACTCCCTTCTTCCAGCAGACTTTCACCTCTCTTGTATCTTCTGGTGTCCCCCTCTCTCCTATATCATCCCTAATCCCATAAAAAACCCTGCTCGTCAGCACCTGTCACCTTAAAAGAATCCCTCCTTTGACTCTCTTGCCAACTTGGATGGTCACTGCCCTGATCTTACTGCTCAGCCCCTTTCAGCCCCGTCCTCCACACTCCCCGTCTTGAAGCTCTTTCCTCACTAGGCCTCCATGACACCAAATCCTCCTATTTGTTTCCAACCCCACGGGTTGGGGAAGGCTAGCCCCTTCCTCTCCACTTCACCTGCATGGGTGTCGTTCTTCTGGGCTCTTC